GCCTGCCTGATCATCCCACACAACCACTGTGAGCAGTCCCCAGAGAGCCAGGGCCGGCCGCAGCGAGCTGGTGCTTCTGGTGGCCCCCTGGTTTCTGCTCCTGCTGTCGGTGGCTATGGGTTATGAGGGCCCAGAGACTGGAAAGGCTTAACAGCGTTTGCTGTTGCCTGCATCAGCCTCCTCCATCACCCCTGAGTCCTGTATTACATTGAAAACAATACAAATGATTTACAAATCACTCTTTTCAGTTTTAATTTAGATTTTACATACCATCCCAACTTTTTCTGATTTGTGGTTGTAGATATTTTTTCTATATTGTCTTATGTTTTCATAAATGTTTTCCACCTTTCACTTTCACCCTGCTTGTGTTGCTATTTACAGTAAGAAAGTTTTTAAGATACCTGACTGAATTACCTGATGACCTGATGCCCTCTGCCTAAACAGAAAACACCAAAAAACCCCTGAGGCATCTTACCGGCAGCACAGGACCCTTTTCATTGAAACAAAGACTCCTGCGTTTCCTCATGTTCCTGTTACCACACATTGATAGGATTACATCTGTTACGTTTCATCTGTGGGTAAACACTTTAGGTTGCTGTAATACAGTCAGACTACAACCACCTCATTTGCTTCCCATACATGCTTGCATCACTGCTTAGACTAATTTGTGGCTGAGATTCAAAATTCCTTTTTCACACTGGCGATTCTTCTGGTCACCAGGGCACAAGATGACTGACTGCAGATGTTTCAGTGTTTTGTGTAACAGGATTTCCATCTTACATACATATTGCTGAGAAATTGGTGTATTTGTTGTTACAGGTTTTAGTAAAGTTGATCGGATTTAATAAAAACACTAAACTCTTTTGTGTTCTTTTTATTTAATGCTATCATGCTATCACAGCCAGGCCAGTTGCTGCTGTTCATCATTCTTTCTTCCTGCTAGCCAGTTCTGTTTTCTGAAGGGATTACTGATTACAGTAATCAGCCTGGTCACCTGGTAAGGGCTACAGCACGATGACAGCATCACCCACAAATGATGCTTTTTGAGTTTTACTTCCTCAGCCATATGGCTTACAAAGCATGGATTTCTGGTTTCTTAGTCATATTTGTTAATGTAAGCAGTAATGGTGTATATTGAATGGTGTGTGTGTGTGTGTGTGTGTGTGTGTGGGTGTTGCACTCTGGAAAGTTCCCAATGATGAACAGTCACACATTATTAATGCACTTGGGTAGAAATGTCGATCTGATGGGGTGTAGGGTACAGTTCACCAGAGTATGCAGGCTTTTCTCTTACACATCCAAAGCTTTGTTAGTGATTATATTTTACATTAACTAAAGTATTGTTTCGATTGGCCCTGGCAGTCTGTGGTTTCTGGGGGCCCCTAGCGGACTGTTTAGGAAACAAACCAAAAGGAAGGTGGTGGTGTACATATCGCAGGCAGGCAGGCAGTGTGGCTCCAGGGAGAATGACCTGTTTGCTGTAAGATAAGACGTTTTGTTCGAACAGCATGTCGAGTTTTTGGCAAATAAACCAGTTTTAGTCGACGTATCAGGGCATAAAGGATGGTTTGTTTCCGCTGGACTGATATACAGTAATTTACGAAGCGAAGTGAGTGAAGCGATGACGAGCTCAGGTAAGTGACCGTCAAATCCTTACTCTGATTTTTTCCCACCTCCGACAAATACACTTGCGAATTATGACATTTTAATTGCCCAGTCACTGGTTAAGGATGTAAACTTAGTCTAAAACTGCTAAATAAATAAGTGTATTAATGGAATAAATAGATAAACATACTGCGTACATGTATGTGCGTTTGGTGGGTATAGGTAAATGTCAGTCATGTGATATTTATTATAGTGTTTGTGGAATTCACTTGTTAGTCACTTATGTATTTAACATATCTGACTTAATTTAAACATTTTAAGTTAATTGGTGATGACAGAATTCATTAGAATGTTTTTGTACACTTGGAAACAGTGTGTAAAACGTGATAGGGAACTATGCTGAGGGGAAAACAACATACCTTCCTCTCACCGTGTTGCAGTTTAGCCCATCACAGAAAACTGTAGGACATTAGTGCAACCAGATGTCTGGAGTTTGCATGACTCTTTTCCAGTGCACCCCACTCTTCATCTCCCGTCTGCTCCTCCTCTTCCTCTGCTTGTTGACACAGGCCATTAGTGGAATAGAGTGCTGCTGTGTGGAGTGGCAAACAAAACCCATGTACTGTTTGAACCCCTGGAGAGCTGGTTTGGTACTTCACAGCAGTTTTACACTAAGCTGTCACTAGGTTGGGATCACTGCAGAGCAGATTTATGGAATGAAACCCCATTAGAACAACAGATGTCATAGTGAAAACACATAAAATGCATATTCCAAACATTTTTTTATTGTGTCAGATTAGGGCCATAATCTGTGACATTTCACATCTGGAACTGTTTTCTAACAGACACTCAACACAAAATCTCAAGTGTGTATCTTGCATTTTTGACTCTCCTCAGGCATGCACAAGCCACCGGTGGCCCCTAAACCAAAGCTGGTCCAACTCCAGATATCAGGGGCATCTCCTGCAACCCCCAGAAGAGATGGCCCCATGCTCCCATCTCCTAGTACACCAGGAAGGGTTAAACCAGTATTGGCTCCCAAACCCTGCCTCTCCAAACTCACCACTGCTGTGGAGTCCAAACCTCTGGCTTCAAAGAGCCTGCACCAAATATCTGTAACAGAAAACTCTCTGACTGTATACCTGCTCAACTCCCAGAATGGAATACAGCGAGAAAACAAAAAACCCGATTGGGATTATATTATTCCTATTTGCTTGTGTAGCCAAGAAAACTGCCAATGCATCAGGAGCACATCAGCAAACAAAGACAATATGGAGAAAGACTTAAAAACATTAACCAAGGATACAACTGAAGACAAGAGAAAGCTTCTCCATACATCTCGAGATACTGAAGATTACAGTGATGGCAGAACAGATGACACAAAGAACCACGTGAAAAGCAGTAGTCCTCCACAAAATGTTTGTCCCCAGCCTGCTTCTACCAACACCCACCTCACTGATCATAAAACTTTACAAGAAACAATTACTTTGGACAAAAATCTGAACACAAACATCAGTACCTCCAGTCCGGTAGTGACCCCTAGGCCCTTTCCTCCTCACAGGACATGGAGTGATGAGGCAAATGGTAACATAATACCAAAGAGTGCACCCGAGGAAGATGCTCTTGGCTCAGAGAGAATGTCTGGTGAGTCCCAACCCAAACCAGCCCATAAGAATCCTGTCCCTATACCACGGAAACCCAGAACAGCTGTTCTGGCCCATCAGAAAAAGGTGGAGGAAGAGAAGAGGGGAGAGACTGTAAGCCAGGAAAGGAAGGAAATGAACATCAATAAAGAGGAGGTGTCATCAGAGGGGAAGGGCAGCTCCTCCATGTCTGTCAGTGTACCTGTTAGTGAAAACAAGCAGCCAGCTTTTCTGTCTGCAAGAAAAGCCTGTCCTCCACCAGCACCTCCGCCCAGGAAGAAACCTTTTCTCTCTGCACCTGAGAACGTGCCAACCTTTGCCCCTCGGGTATTTGCAAATGATGTGGAAGAGGAAGACCTGGGAATGGACAGCGACATTTATGAGAAGGAGATATCAGTTGACCAGGACAGTAGGGTGGAAAAGAAAGGAAGGGATGATCAGGAGACGGTCTGCAGCAACCTCACACATTGTCTTCCTTCCAGTAGTTTGCTCACTCAGCCTCCTGGCATCAGTGCCGCAACAGAGAATAACAGGGCGGTCAAGGTCGATCCAAAGAAGCCCCACCAACACAGCAGCCCGATATGGATCCAGAGGAAGGAATCTAAGGAGAAAGAAGAGGGAAAATTAGGAGATGGTGAGAAAAGGCATGTTCTTCCGCTACAAGATTGTGCTGTAAAGGAGGGCTTACAGAGAGAGCTGCCTTTGCATACAGATGAGAAAACAAGTAGAAACCTCATAACAGTTGGAAACAAGTCTTCCCAGTCTACTCTGGGCAAACAGAAAGCCAGGTCATTCTCTGGTGCTGATGTTGTTCGCTTTGAGCAAGACAGGAGGAACTCTTTCCGAAAACTGCTGGAATTGAAGCTCTCTGTGAAGAACCCAATTGTAAAAGGAGGCCAGAGCCCAGACTCCACTGCAAATGATGATGAGCAAAGTGTGGACAGGGACCAAGACAAATGCCAGAACTTCCCTGCGCATCTCCGAGAACGCAAATTCTCCTGCCCACTGATTGGAGTAGAACAAAGTGTAGATGAAGATGAGTTTTCTCATGGAATAGAACAATCTGGTCACAATGAGAGCATCGGTATATATGAGGAAATAGACTACTTGAATGTGCATGTGGGAAAGGCAGAGTCATCTATGACCTGCCACGGTGAAATGTATTGTGATGAGGGCATTTATGAGGAGCCTGAACCCTTTATGTCCTTAGAGAAAACCAACAGACAGCAGCAGCATCAGACACCAGCAGCTGGCGGGTAAGTTATGATGTCTGTTATTTCTGTTTCTTATTTCTGCATCTATTTGATTCTGTTTTTTTCTCTTATTATATCATCTGTAAACGATCTAGTGTATGACAGAGAGTGTCTGTTACCATTTTTATAAGGGGAAGTCACACAGAAGCATGTCACATTGTATTTTGTTGCAGGTTCCTGTCAGGGGAGTTTGACAAGTGTGTTAGCATGCATGCTTGCAACATTTTTCATGTGTTGATAGGTTTGTAGATTGACCTAATAATTCAGATGACACAGACAATTCTATATATACTTCATATACTGTAGTAGGTTGTTATCAGAGGCTTCCTTTGCCCTAAAAGGCCTTGGTGTTTGTTGCAGCTCAGGATTGTTTCCTCTCTGGGGCTAAAAAGGCAGTTAAGTGTTTTAAGTTTTAAAGGATCTGTTAATAGAAATATTTAAGATCTGCTACTGAGATTTTTGTCTCCATTAAAACACAATAGTTGTGACAATTCTCTACGTGTTCCTCAAAGCATTGGAAAAATAGTTTGAGAAAGCTGTGTGTTTTTCCAGAAATCGTGTTCCTGTAACTCTGCATAAACATTAGAGCCGCAGGTTTAATTTAAACTACTTTTTATCCAGGAGAAGGTTTCTACAAAACTGTTGACAGTGAGGTTTGTGATTCGAGCAGACAACATTGTCTCTGGCACAACACAATACCGCTTAGTTTTCCTCATGTAAATGTTAAATGATTGGATCAAGACGTATAAAATATTTGTATCCAAGATGAGGAAATATTTTTTGGTTTGGACTGAGCCTTTTTTTAAGATTATTGCATCAGTTAAACTGCTAGTATGGTTATTTTTTGGGGGGAGGACTGTTAGTAATTAGTCTTTTCTGCAAAGAAATTATGAATGACCAGTGAACTCAACTTGAAAATTTAGATTACAGTTTGTGTAACTGTTCGCTGTCTCTCAGTGAAATGCGACAGTGTAAACATGCCAGTGTGTAAGAACCAGTGACTCTGGCACACTGGGTTTGTTGCTCAGTTTTAGCCTCTTTCTCTCTCTAGCTAGACCAGGGCTAGTGATACAGCACGTGACAGTGTTGATGATTATCAGTACATGATTTGGTTTTTCCTCAGCTGCGTTAACTGGCCCCTTTCCTGTGTGACTCCCACTCCTTTAGAGCAGGAACTGTTATGAATACTGCTACATTGATGTTTTTCTTCCAAAAATACATATGCTGACAAAGATGTTTTTATTTCAAACCTCATCTCTTTTCCCTAATCTATAAATAATGTACTCCTTATACTTTTTAAATTAATCATGTGCCATTAAAATGACTAAAGGCATGTCATTGTTTGCTGAATGCACATTGTTTTTAATAAATGCCTGCAGCAGCAAATGTTTGTTCACACCACAACATCTGTCTCTGTTCTTCTCTGACCCCAATGCTCTGGCCTTTTAACAGCTGTTCTACCAATGAGGAGGTGGCACCACAGGGTTATAGCCACTCAGATGATGATACTAGAGCCAACACCTCAGATGAGGAGGAGGATGATTGCATCTTCATGTCAAGTAAAGGAGACCCTGAGCAGCCAGGGCAGAGTACGGTGAGGACAGCAGACACTGTTTAGTCCCTGATGTGCACAGAAACATTGCCTGGAATTATCTCACAGGGTTTGTGTTGTGAGACATAATGATTTTGTCTTGAACCTCAGGGGAAGAATTTGTCTTCTTTCTGACACTCGTTCATTTTCATCAACCTCCTGAATATACAGTGCAGTACAGCTAAATGAATGCAGTCTAATACATCAGCACTGCAATAAATTCTCCCTGTGATGATGTGATGATAAATTTTTGTTGAGAGAGAGGTTCATTTAGATGTATGATTATTTTGTCTGTTTTTGCACCTTTGTTAGACCCAGAATGGAAACAAGACCAAAATTCACCACATCGCGACAGAAATCATGACCTCTGAGAGTGTGTAAGTCTTAATATTGTTTTAATTTAAAACATATACCCACTTACTACTAGTGGTAGCCAGCCATGCCGATAGTTTTGGTTTGTTTGCCCAGGTTTGAGATGTTTAGAGTATAAATAATATTGTCTATGGTGCTCACAATGTTGAAAAATTACATTTAAGTCAACAGCGATATCTAATTTCAAAGAGACAACTGGGGATCAACTGTTTCACTAACTCTTTCTCTTGTATAAAATGAAAACTCACAGTAAGCTTTGTCTGTTGTACAAAGAAAATGGTTTTTGACCGATATGTGGCTGTTGATGTTTTTAATAGTAATTTTGTTATGCTGTTGGCACCACACACAATATGCTGTTTTACTTGAAATACCCCAAAACCTTAGCAAATAAAACTAAAATTATAAGCATGGATAAATAAGAAAGAGGAAAACTATTTATTTTCTTTTGCTTAAAAGGAAGTGGCTCTTTATGACTTTACTCATTAATTATATCTTATTTAACTTCTCATCATGCCAGGGATCATAATCTACCTATCATTATTCTTTGTTTTTGTAGGTTTGTTGATGTCCTGAAGCTGCTTCATGTCGTAAGCATCCCTTTACTTCATCCTTTAAAGGTAGGGTTGGCGATCCTGGAAAAACCAGCAAGAGGAAGCTCAGTCTTGAAATTAGACAATTGAAGAAATCACACCCTTTCGTTCTAACTTCTCTCCAAAGCCACTCCTCCAAACCACAGTGCACACTGCAACGTGAACTGCCTGACTAGTACTGATTTCAGGAAATAACAAATGCTCCCCAAGCAAAATAAAACCAATAGTTACATGTCCAGCAGAAATACAGCCACCAGAAATCGTGTTCCTGTAACTCTGCATAAACATTAGAGCCGCAGGTTTAATTTAAATTTAGCCCTTTTCATTCTCAGTTGTTGCCATCGTTCAAAAGCCACACCGATGTTAATTCTGGTTTTACTTCTTGCAGCATCCAACTTCTTTTTAGTTGTAACTTTCTAGAATACACTATTATCTGCCCCAGATCTGTGGCCCTGAACCACAGTTGGGGGCCCTCTGGTTAATGGCTAAACTGCTTTAGCCCCGGTATCTAGTCTTAGAGGTCCGGGCGGGGAGAAGTGAAGAGGGAGTCCAGGGAGCAGGTTTCTTTCTTTATGTTGTCAGTGCATTTAATGTATTCATAGGATGAGGTGTTTTTCAGCCCTGCTGCTGCCACAAATGGCAGGTTTCTTTCTTTATGTTGTCAGTGCATTTAATGTATTCATTACCATTGGGTTGAAAAGAGAAATTCAAGTAATGTAACAAAAAAATCTTCTGAATCGCCAGCCCTACCTTTAATTCTGTTGGTTTCACATGAAAACAGGCCCCAGAGGCTGTTGTTATGTTTTATCTGGTATTAATCGACTGTGAGAGTTCACTATATGTGTTTGATAATGCTAGTTACTGGGGCACACCCCATGCAGGATAAGACTGTGTAGACCCAGCTGCCCGCAGCTTTGTCAGCATGGCTCACATTCCTCACAGTCGTCTCCTGGTAGGTTGATCTGACAGGAATGCTACACTTATCTGTACTTAAACACAGCCTTGTGGCATTTTGAAAAACTTCATCTGTACTTCCCTGAACGTGTTTGTGACAGCATACAGTGCATGGTAACAAGTACGGCAAAAACATGTATATGTTGTCAGACCTGTACAAATCTACCCAGCTCTCTTGTAATCTCACAGTTAATAAAATCTACTTTAAAGTCTCTCTACACATTATGTGAAATGTATAGTGTAAGAATACATAAAGAAACATAGTAAATGTGGCACTTTGAGAAAAAAAAACTATTATTATCTATAACTACTTTATTTAGCTAGGCATACCAACTGTAATAAACTGCCATTTGAGTATCACATCATACTATCTAGCAAACAGATAAAAAGGAACTGGCACAAGCTGTGCTACGTAAACAACACAATGGGAAGTGGTTAGACCTCTAAAAAACACGGGACAACAAATAGTCTCATCCTACTAAATACAGTCATATGAGCAGAAATTTGGAAAGACACAAAGTCACACCATGAGAATGCAACAGGATTGAGTCATAAGTGATGACTCGTCACAGGCAGGAAGTGCTTGGGTGTCTGTGGACCGTAGAGAAATGGAAGCCAGTAATAAGAAACAGCCATTCCAAGAAGGCGGAGATTACTTATTATTTGTTCAGTCTCCATCTCTGGCAGGCAGGCAGGCAGTCATCTGGCTTTCCATGGACTGATAAATGTTTTGTTGTGTGTCTTCATCAGCTAACTGTTGAACCATATCTATAGCCATTCTAGTGTTGTCTCTGTGCACTGTTGCTCAGCTGAACACCCATTGTCTCCAAAATGTCAACTTCCCAGTGGCAGAAAGATAATAACAGCTTTGACTTTTACCTTAATGGAAATGTACTGTGTGGTCTTTCTGATGAGCTTTCAAAGCGTAATCCTTAGCATTCAAATAATATTTTCGGTCTATCAAACAGTATGTACACTGTACAAACAAACTGAAGAGAAACAGTGATTGTGCCCACTTCACTCTGGACAGTAACATAATATTACTAACAAATACTTCCTTACTGTTTCCTCAGTCATGTCTGCATTATAATCTTCGCTTATCTTGTGAATCATCCATATTTTTTCTAATACCATTTAAAATACATTTCTTCACTGTCAGTTGTTGTAGTAGGAAGAGAATACATGTGTTAACCACAGGCGTTCACCTCTGGGTGCCCAGTCTGCATGCAGTTTTATCTGCCACGTGTCACCATAAACCACCAAAAGAACCATCCACATCATCAGAAAGAGCAGCAGAAACAGCTATCTCAGCTCTTCTGTGCTTTTTAAAAAATCCTGACTCATCAAATAATGGAAATTTGAGGATCCTTAATGGGAGTCAGGGTATTTTTATGATACATCACCAGGTTTTTCATGATGTGCCTGTGTTCCTGTAATCACCCAAGTCTTTCTGACTATCTGACCTATAGGACTTCCGTGATTTGGTGTCCAAGGCATCTCGGCAGAGTGGGAGCCCTGTGATAGAGGAGCGTCTTCTGAACCAGATCTTGTACTACCTTCCACAGCTCTATGAACTCAACCATGACCTGCTCAGAGAGCTGAAGCAGAGAGTGGCACAGTGGTACAACAAATTTATTTTAAAAAGTGTTTATTTTACTGACACCATATTCATTCACCCACACATTGTGGTCAAAGGTACAGTATGTCGGCATCCCTGTACATTTGTGTACATTGCATCAGGGACTGTGTTAGCCTTCTGTTCCAGTTCAAGGACATCTTAAAGCTCCTTACTGAAGCAATCATTTCTTAAATATTCAAATATTTCAGTTCAATAAATTCAGTATTTAAATTTCTACACTTCATATGTCAGTGTAAAATTAAAGCATTATAACGAACTATTGGAGTAACGCTGTGATAATAAGCCTTAATTCTGAAATGGTCTACAACAATATATAATGTACTATAGTGTATTGTACACCTCAGTTACATATACACACACTTCAAAACATGTTGCAGTGTCTAGGTTATCTCATTCTACTCCATTTAATGCACAGGGATGACAATGTGCAGCTAGCAGACATTTTCCTGAAGAAAGGGCCCTTTCTGAAGATGTACTCCACATACATCCGTGAGTTTGACAAGAATGTGGCTCTACTGGAAGAGCAGAGCAAGAGGAATCCAGCATTTGGTGCTGTAGTACGACAGTTTGAGGTAACAAGGCTCACTAAACCAGTTTTCTCTGTCTAAGTGGGTGTGTCTTTCGGGTTAATAAGGCTTCATAGTTTCTGTGTATGCATCTAAAAATTGTGTTATTGGTGTATCTTTTTTTGTCCAAGGCCAGTCCACGTTGTGCTAACTTGGCTTTGAAGCATTACCTACTGAAGCCTGTTCAGAGGATTCCACAGTATCAGCTGCTGCTCACAGGTACTTAAGATGAAGAGTCAACTTGACAACGTTAAATCAATCAGTTTAATATCTTGGCACATTGTTATTAAACCAGAGTCATGCATACATACATTATCTATACTGTTTATCTTGAAGAGGGTCATGGGGGGCTGGAGCCAATCCCAGCTGACATTGGGTGACAGGCAGGGTCCACCCTGGTCAGGTCATCAGTCTATCACAGGACTGACACTTAGACAGACAACCACACACACCCACACTCATTCCTAGGGGAAATTTAGAGTCGCCAATCAACCTAAGCTGCATGTCTTTGGACTGTTGGAGGAAGTACCTGGAAGGAACCCACACAGGCACAGGGAGAACATGCGGACACGCACAGAAGGGCACAAGGGGCTTAAACCTGGAATCTTCTTGCTGTGAGGCCACAGCACTAACCACTGCATGCTGCATACCATGCTGCCCCCGAGGTCATTCATTAAAAGCCAAATGGCTTCATCATTGCAGCTACAGGCTCCTAAACAGTGCTTGTTTGCCAAATACATGATGTCTCGTTAAAGGCATCAGGCTGCCCTCTGGTGTCCAGAAAAACAAAAGTAGCTTGGAATTTCTGCCTTGCTTCTTCTATCCTCCTATAATAAGGTTTTTGAAGTGTAGCCCAAATCAGATGTGGTGAAGTTACACAAGCTTTTAATATGAATGACCTTAGTGTTCCGTGAGTCTAAAGGATCAGAGTCGAACACTCAGTGCCAAAATGTGAAAAACAGTCCTCATGTTGCTCTTGGATAATTACATTATTAAGCACCTGCAGACCATTTTATCCAGGATTTTAATTTCCGTTTGCATTCCAGGAATTGACTATATAACAATGAATACTTGTAACCAAGTGTACAAAGTCTTTTTCACTTGTTTGGTTCCACTCTTGACCCTGACTTTGAAAGGGTTGTTATTTTGTTTCAGACTATCTGAAAAACCTGTCGGAGGACTCGGCTGATTACAAGGACACACAAGGTAAACACAGGACCTTTTAACATCTCTATACAGTAAACAGAGGTGATGGTGCCAGTGGAACTGTATCATGTATGTGATGTACATGTACCGTATACTGTATGTGGTGTACACCTTTACACATTTTTTCTTCTCAGCTGCCCTTGCTCTAGTGAAAGAGGTTGCCAATCATGCCAACGACTTCATGAAACAAGGGGTGAGAGACAGTCAGCACATTCTCTTAACATGTTAATAAGATGCTCTGAGCAGTTTACTCATGTTAATTTTTTTTCTAAATCTCAGGACAACTTCCAGAAACTAATCCAGGTGCAGTGCAGTCTGAATGGCAACCATGAAATAGTCCAGCCTGGGCGGGTAAGACCTCATAGATGTTGTTTGTGTTTGTGTTGTAAATTTACCTGCATTAGATTTGTTACATTATAATTTTTAGCTGAACTTTTATAATTATTATTATTCACAATCACTCATTTAAGTCTATTTAGTAGCTGTTCTGGATTTTTCAGCCATATCACAAGACCATCATCAGACAATAGAGTTCAGCCATGGAATAGTAGATGTTTAAATTAGCATTTTTCTATCATTTCTGCTTCATGTTGGCTTAAGTTCCAAAGTTCATTGTTGACCTTAAAAATAGCAGTTGGCAAAACAGTCTCTTTTTAATCCATACAATTTAAACCTTAATGTCATTGTAATGAAGCCCCATAATATTATGGTGAGCAGGAAATCACATTAACAGAACTATAACACTAGATGTTTTTATCCAAATGGTTCATTACCTTTAGGGCTTATAATAGTGTCCCATTTCAAGACCAACATTTAAATTTCATTAATATTCAGAAAATGAAAATAGCCATCCTTCTCATTTAAACAAGGAAAAACTATGAACTTGACTTAATGTGACATTTTTGTCCCCCAGATCTTCCTGAAAGAGGGACTCCTATTGAAGCTGTCCAGGAAGATAGTACAGCCCAGAATGCTCTTCCTGGTATAGTGTCCATGTATCTCATGCTTCTCTTCCTTCATTCTTCAAGTGACATCTGCCCCAGCCAGTCTGTTGTGTGCTCTCTACCTTCAGTTAGTCCAGAATATATTCTGTGAAGGTTTGACTGTGATCAGACAGATGCTCCTTTCTTTTTAGTTAAGCGTCTTTTTCCTAAGTAAGGTATTATATGGTCCATATATCCTTGTATCTCACCTTTGTTGTCTTTTACTGCCATAAGGACACTGAAGTTGTAGATCAGAAACTTTTGACTGTCCGGAGGTCAAGGCTCAAAGACGCTTGAGCCTTTGATTATATGTACACAAACTTCATAACTGTCTTTATCAAAACAATGGAAGCTAATGAAACAAAAATGATTCATTATCTATTAGAAAATACAGAATGAACAGAAAAGACAGAATAAAAGTAATATTCCTTTGCTATTTCTCCCTTAGTTTAATGACGCATTACTCTACACCACTCCTCTTCAGTCAGGCCAGTACAAGCTCAACAAAATGCTGTCTCTGGCTGGGATGAAGGTGACATCTCCTTTTATTTCCTTGCACTCTTCATCTTTTCATATTCTTACATAGTATCACAAGATAAGGTATACGCTGCCATCATTTCTCACAATGAAAATAATTACAGGTTAGCAAACCAAGCCTAGAGGCCTATCAGAATGAGCTCAACATTGAAAGTGTGGAGCGCTCCTTCATTCTCTTTGCAAGGTAATGATCAGGGGAAAAAGATGCCTCAATGTAATTTGAGAAAGTGGTGTTTCATAATCCTATGTTTATCACTGAAGTGCATAGAGGTCTGTGGATACTGTGTAGATGTAGTCACACTTGGTTTCTCTACCTTCAGTTCAGCCATAGAGAGAGATGAATGGCTTCAGGCCATTTCCCTGGCGATCAGTGACTACGCCAAGAGGAAGATCAGCTTTATACCTGGCAAGCCTTCAGAAAAGGTATGATTGTCTTAAGCAGTAGTTCACTTTATACACTTCCTGTTTGCAGAGTATGAGCCTATAGGGTCATCAAAACAAACATTAAAAAGTCAATTTTATAATGCAAGTGAGCAGTGAGTGATAATGTTTTGCTTAGTTTTTTTTAAACTTATATCCAGGTAGACCAGATGGACGGCGCTTCTTTAGGCTCTAAAGCCCCTATATGGATCCCTGACCTGCGGACAACCATGTGTATGATTTGCTTCTCTGATTTCACCCTGACATGGAGGCGACACCACTGCCGAGCATGTGGAAAGGTGAGGTGACAAAAGCAGTCAGAGTTGGAAGAAATACTCTCTCCCTTTTGTTACAACTGTCATTTCTAAACGATTCTTCATCAAAAATAAGCAAAATAAGATAGCTAATAAAATGTGAAAATAGGAATATTTTGGGAAATAATTAGCTCTGCACTGAAACTGGAAACAGCAGAAAACAGCTGGCCAGACTGAAAAAAAAGAGAAAAAGTATGACTTTTGTGCTTTATCATCCCATCAGGTCGTGTGCCAGGACTGTTCTTCCAACAAACACTGTCTTGAATACCTAAAGAATCACTTAGCACGAGTGTGTGACGATTGCTTCGTTATTCTTCAGCAGCAAAGTAAGAGTAGTTTCCTTCTAACACTGTTTGCAATCTGGCAACACATTGTCATTCTTATATTTTTATGCTATCCAGCTGAAACATCACTGTGAATTAGACAAAGGAATACCATCTATTCTTTGTATTTTCTGTGTATTAAAGCACCGCATGTTGTGTATTTCTGTTCATCAGATGAAAGCTCCTCACCAGCAGCCCCAGCCCTTGGAAACAAATCTGCTTTTTCTTTCGTCAAGAAGCACAAGAAGATACCTGCAGCCCTCAAAGAGGTGATGGTTCTTTTTCCTGATCAGGATGCATAGTTATTCATAATGACCAGATATCTGATCAGGTGGGGGTTTATGTCTTTCAGGTGTGTGCAAACACAGACAACTCCTCCATGAGTGGGTATCTGCAGAGGTCAAAGGTTAATAAGAAGCTGGGGAAAAGGCTGTGGTTCGTGATTAAGAACAAGGTCTTGTACACATACGCTGCAAGTGAGGTAAGGTCTCCTATTTTTGTCAATGAATAGTCTCTTCATATCAGTCGACCAATAGGAATTAATTTCATGTCATTCTAAAATCTTTGATTGTGTCTTCATGCAGGATGTTGCAGCATTGGAGAGTCAGCCCCTGTTAGGATTTGTGTTGAAGGCAGATCCATCTCAGAAATTACAGTTTGAGCTCTATCACCAAAACACACTTTACTATATTTTTAAAGCTGATGACGTCCAAACTGCCCAGAGGTACAATGTTAAAAGGGATACATCTTGTTATTGTATATGACAGAAATAGTAAAACTAATGATCTTTTTTCTTTTTAAACAGATGGATCAACTCATTCAAAGAAGCCACCGTGCTTTAAAGTTATTCAACATATTTTTTTGCCTTTGCCTGAACATTTTTTACCTCAGTGAATTCTGCAAAAAACACCTGGAGACACCATTATTAGATGGATTGAACTGAATCCAATTATATTATTTTATTGCTTTTATTATAATTTACTATTGTTACCTTTTACATAGTGTTAGAGAACTCCTGTGGAGGTGGTAAATTACTTATTTTTGTATATTAACATGAATCTTTCTCATCAGGATTTATGCAATTTTGGCCATGATGTAAGAATCATTTAACAACCACCTTTAGCTATTTTAGACTTTTATACTTTCATTTTTTTTTCAGCATTTTAATTTCTCTGGTAACCTGTTTGAATCTCCATAGCACAGATTATTAACAAAAGCTCTTTGTCTACAAATTTGTAATGAATACCATCATCACAAATGGTTCACATTTACCCAGTCATTTTCAGAGGTCAAGACTAGTAATATGTTTTTTGTTGTTTGGGAATAATTACTTTATTTTGCACTTGTCAAGTTGGCTATAGAACACAACATGCACTCATGATAAAGATCAATCTTCTACCTCACATAGGTTTGAGTCTCACATAGTTTTAATGGTGTACCAGGGAAATATTCACTGTTTGAACATACCATAACTGTATGCTAACACAACTGTACCATACTATGTATTGCACTTAAATCACTCAAATGCCTGTACATATTTTATACTCCACACACATATCCTGTGTAAATATACACAATTGTAAACTATACCAAATTTCTAAGAATCTCATTTTTACTACTTAAATTCTTTCACTGTAATAAACTGTTGTTTTACTGTGCTTTTTGTTATGATTGGTTGTATGAAGCAGGAACAAACAATTGTTTTAATAGTCAGCAAAAGAGGAAGTAAGTTGTATATAGGCCACTCATGTCACTGTAACATATAAAACTGTAACAACCAGCATACACACAAAGATAAACAGCTAGTCAAACTTGGTGTAGGGGTTAAAAGTCGTAATAGGCCTGCAATGTGTTAATTAGCAGTTTATAAATGAATAGTGGTCCAGGTGTCCAGCAGCCCCTTTTGAGAAGGGGTTCAAGAGTTCATTGAAGACCTAAAAATACAGCAAATCCTTTGGGCTAGAGAGGATGTTCCACAATATCCGGAAACCCAGAGGTTGTTCTTATTAATGGCATAAGATGGATCCCTCCTAAATAAAACAGCTTATAGTACCCCTATTTCTACAGCAGCACATTATTTCAACCTCCTGTTTTGCTTTGTCTAATAGCCAGTGTGACAGCATCTGGATTTCATACACAGAACTGTTGAGGTGCTTTCAGCATACATGGATTAATAAAACTGCTCAAGATTATACACTCTGTGATCTAACATAATGTCTCTTGTGCCAAAAAACTGAAGCCAGTTGGGAAAATACATTTTGACAGGTTTCTGTTCACAAACTAGTTTAAGAGCGCGGCAATCTAACTGCGCATGCCCATACTTTATTTATGAAAAAAAGGTCACGAACTCTGACCCTCCTACCAACTGCAGTTACAGTAATAATATCGTTTATTGAAGGCAATACATTATCTGATCTAACATCTCCTTGACAGGTAAGGAGTAATTACTAATGTGGGCATGAAAGAGACACGAGTGGCCAGGAACACAGGAAGGAAGGGAGTGTTCAGTGGGTCTACAGCAGGGACGCTACCAGTAGCTACCAGCTAACAAACAGCTAACCTAGCTCGTTAGCATTGTCGTCCGGAGTGTAGCGCATGAAAACGACTTTCGCACGTATGTAATAACGTTAGTGTGTGTATGCGACTCCATGGCTGGTTGTCTGTGTAAGGCTACGCGTTTAGGTGAAGCTGTTAACATCAAGTCGGAAAGAAAAAGGTAGTTTATGCCCATGCTACTTAGCCAACAAGCGTTACCTTGTTAGCTAACGGTGCTGCCGATAGCTCATGTTAGCCGCTGTGCTAGCGTTGCTAAGTAGTCTCAGGAACTAAGCAAGGAACTCAGCATCATTGAATTAAGTGTCAATGCGACAACGGCATGGCCTAGTATTAAATCATCAGCTGTCTTGCTAAACTTCCAATTGTTGTGGAAAGTCATTGCAAGAACTGATGCGAATTCTCCTGTTGTCAAAACTGAAATCCCACCGTTGATTCTGCGATTTGGCATCATGGGCCTTGAACCCTAGCATGCTTTAACCCTTCAATGTTGACCTTTCACCCACAGGAAAAGAAATACCTTTATCTTCCGTATCGATTTTAAATAGCTGTCTGTTAAGGACTTGTTTGTGTTAGCGACACAGCTTTGCCGCTCATTTGTTGTCACTTTTCGATGATTAAGTTGCTTTAATAACATGGCTACCAATAGTTCAGTTTCGAGCTAACATGGGCTAGATTGGCTAGCATAGGCCACAAAATAACATTAGTCAGTGACACGCCATATAATATTACAGATAATGTCAAACTAACTTTGACTTGGTTAACGTTTAAGTTAACATCGTGTAACGTTAGATATGTCCATCAGGTTTGGGCCAGAAATATTTTCTGATTAAAAGGGGAGGTAAACAAATAACCAGGAAGAATAAGTTAGCTAGCTGCAGTGGTAACTACTTGTTTTCTCATAGTGGTCATTTTAACAACAACTCTGAGCTCTGATACAATGCATCTGAATGCAACAGATTGAAAATTAGAGTCTGAGCTCCGGGTTCATCCATACACATTAGTTTATAAAATTGATATTTACGCATGTTGTAAAAGCTGAATGAAATGTTCTATGGGATTTTAGTTTATCACAGAACTCAATCGGTGATTAAATGGTATGTTGTTCACAACAAATCCTCATGAAAACACCAAAACCTACTATACTACTTTGTGTTTCTGCATTACCTTGAGTGTTGCAGGTTATTTTGAGTCAGTATCAGTTGCAAGGGCTGTAAATACTTACTGAGTACAAATCTGGTAAAATAGCCCCCAGTATAACCATTATTAGCTTTAACATGTGCTAAAAACTGTAGTGTCACTGTGCACCTGTTTTAAAAAATTGTTTAGCTTAAAAAAAAATCATCTTTATCCTGTTATGAAAAGATTCTGTTGGAAAGAATTGGCTTGGTGGCTTACTGCTACAGACGGTAGCTGAAAAGTACTGAGAAAACTGACTTTAATTGAATGTTTTTTGACAATAAGAAACATTTTGAAATAAAGTAAGCCATATCCTTGCAGGTGTTCTCAGACCTGATCCATAGTTTTCTTTAATAAAACACAAAGTAGAATATATGCTCTCTGTACAGGTGTGCATGCCTGATGGGGTACTGATGTGAAAAGCAGTGGAAGAAGCTGTGCGAAGTACCAGAATGGATGGACAGACTCAAAGGATTCAACTTTTGTCAACAGACAACAACATGGCTTTAGGACACAGAATCCAGGTGATGTGACAGCTTGTCTGACTGTTATTCTTTTTTAATTATGTGTGAATAAACATTCACTCCTCTCCCACTTGTTATGTATATACAGTAAGCACTTCCTCATGTTTTGATTTATTTTTAAACATTTCCAATAGATTGTTACTGATCAGCAGACTGGCCAGAAGATCCAGATCGTCACAGCACTTGAACCATCGTCCCCTGGAAAGCAGCAGTTTATTTTAGCAAATGCTGATTATTCCCCTGGTGGCAAGGTGATCCTGGCCAAGCAGGAAGACTCACCCAGCAAGGTCATCCTTGCCTCTCCAGATAGTGCTGGGGTTAACCAGCTGTTGTTTGCCTCCCCTGAACTGGCTGGGTCACAGATTCAGGTACTGCCTGAAGTTCTTAGTGGCTTACTCCAGCCAGTTTGAAATGTCTTCTGACTGAAGGATGCACATGTTTGGTTAGTCTTAACCTATTGATCTGTTTGCTGTAGTACATTATTCCATTGTCTTGTGTTGTTTTTCAGTTTGTGACTGAAGGCTCAGACCAGTCTGTTGTCAAGCCGATTGTGGAGTACTGTGTTGTCTGTGGGGACAAAGCCTCAGGTAGAAATTAAATTAAATTTATTTTAACATTGTTATTTTTCAGTAGCACACAAGCAAGTCTTCTACCCTTTTTTCTCTTTTCTCTCACAGGGCGTCATTATGGAGCCGTCAGTTGTGAGGGCTGTAAGGGCTTCTTCAAACGCAGCATTAGGAAGAACCTGGTATACACGTGCAGGGGTTCTGGAGAGTGTGCCATCAACAAGCTCCACCGAAACCGCTGCCAGTACTGTCGACTGCAGCGCTGCATAGCTCTGGGCATGAAACAGGATTGTAAGAGACTAATATTTATTATTTACAGAAATAATTTTCAGACTCACATAAATAAGGCCTGATGTTTTGGTGTTGTGATGTAGCTGTGCAGTGTGAGAGGAAGCCTGTTGAAGTGACCACTAGAGAGAAATCTGTCAACTGTGCAGCATCAACTGAGAAGATCTACATCCGGAAGAACCTGTGTAGCCCTCTGGCTGCCACACCCACTTTTGTATCTGACAAGGAAACTGCCAGGTACAACCACTTAACAAAAGTTCATACACTAATTTACCGTATTTTTTAGATTCACCTATACAATCAACAGCTGCTTTGTAACAATATCTTTCTTAGTATTATTAATAACAATAACAACATCATATTGGGAGTTGTATCTTGTTTTCTTTCCCATTTACATTACGGCAAAAGGAAAATTAGAAAACATATATCTTTAGTAATGCAGCCCTGTAACACACCATCACTGACAACTGCCTCAGAATTACCATTGAGTTGAATCAGCACCTCCCTGACACACTGGTGTTACACTGATGTTCTCTGACTATTATAAGCTTGAGCAATATGGGATGTACTTTAGCAAGTCATTGGACTGGATTGAATTAAATTAAATTGCACACGGTAAAATAATAAACTGGCAAGAGTGTCACAAATTATTTCTATTGCATGAAACAAGATTCTTAAATATTCTGCATGCCTAGAGATCTTTCCATATTACATGATACTACTGTATGTGAGATGTCAAACCTCTTATTGCAGGTCTACAAGTTTGCTTGAGTCAAGCATGTTGTTCAACATCCAGCAACCCTTCTCTAAGTTGGAAAATACCATCTTGATCCCTGCATCCCCTGACAAGGTAACACTGCTGCAGTCAAATCATAGTACATTTACTCATAGTCTCATATATAATTCTACCTCTTAAGCTTGATTTATGGTTCTGTGTTGAAGCTACACCGTAGGTACAACATAGGTAAGGTGTAGACTTGTACCCTAATCATTAGCCAGACGTGCACCTCTCCAGAAATGTAACTACACAATGTGGCAACGCAGACTGCAACAACTGTGATTGGTTGCATCACATTTCCTCATTCATGTCTCTCAGTGACCAGACAAGCACAGAAAATCCCCCCTTGTTCTCCTGCAGTTGGTTCAGTGGTTGTTCAGACCATCTCCTTCAACGTCTTCTCTCTTATCTGTGTTGCAGTATTTTCAGTAAAAGTAACAGCTGTTTAACATCTATTAGTTTTAATGCCAGCATGACCTGCTCAGTTTCAGAAGAAGCAGAACATGGTGTCATAGACACACCATCTCCAGCTAGCAGTTTGGTAGTACAATTACAGGGCGAAACAGACACACCAGCACACAATGCTCACAATGGCGTGCGCCACATGGTTAGTCTACAGTGTAGACTTTTCGTAGATTCAACACAGACCCAAAAATAGTTTTCAATATAAAGGTCACAGAGAATAAATACAATATGTCCGATTGGCTACTTATTATTAACAAAATAACTGCCTGTTCAATAATGGTGCATGTGTTAACATCTGTGTGTTGTGGACCATTGATAAACACTAACATTTTTTAACCTGTGGCAGGATAGTGCAAACAAATAGAGTTTGTATTTTTGAAGCATGTTTGCTAATTACTGTCCCATCCTCAGCAGGATGACCCATCTCAGGGTGACCTCAGTACACTGGCAAATGTAGTGACGTCCCTTGCCCACCTCAACAAGACAAGGGAGACAAGTGACAGCGGCAATGATATGATGGGAGTCGAAACGCTTAGCAACGGTGACAGCTCAATGACAGAAATCCAAGGAGACGAGCAAAGTGATATCACTCGGTGAGAGAGATGACAAAAAGAATCTAGAGGCTTTGACACTGACCAGTAGTTGTTTCTGATTGAGCTGATAAATCAACTGGAGCCACGTGAGCAGTAGGGAGGAGTCCGGGGGCTGTGTTTTCTATTTGTCACAGAGCTTTAATTGAATTTTGAGTTGGGCCATGTGGTTTCTGGCTGTGCTATTAGGACTGAATTAGATTGGCTATAGTCAATCATAAATAGACCATCTTTGTGCACTGTATTGCTTTGACTTGTATCCTTATAGTGCCCATGCATTCCTTTTAATTTATGTGAATGTATGTCATCTGTGTGTCTGTTATTGTGCTGTTTTATTTTTGCACTGATCCTATTTATTTTATTTTAGTTATTTATTGTGATTTTATCTTGCCTGTGTAAAGTACTTTGGTCAACTGGGTGTTGTTTTTAAAGTGCTATATAAATAAATTAGTCTTGATTTGATTTGATTTCTCTGTGAGCTACAATACATTATCTGCACATACATTTTGATGTCTCCATCAAAACATGAATTTTTAAAGTGAACATTTGATTTTCATATTGTGTGTATTGTTAGAGCCTTTGACACCCTGGCCAAAGTCCTGCACCCTGGTGATGGCTTACCAGGGAATTCCTTGGAGGCCACAATGCAGCTGATATCAGGGGACCAGTCGGGTCCTGTAGTAGAGTTAGACGGACCTCTACTCTCTGACAGCCATATCCCTTTCAAGGTAAAACCACAGCCACTGGCTTTGGCCTTTACGATGACATCCAGCTTATTTTATTTTTTTTACCGAGCTAAGCATTTTTTTCTGATTAACACTGTAGTCATGTCTTCTCCCCCTGCTTTAAACAATTTGCTCCTACAGCTTATGATGCCTTTGCCTGTGCCAGAGTACCTCAATGTCAACTATATCTGTGAATCAGCTTCTCGCCTACTTTTTCTCTCAATGCACTGGGCACGCTCCATACCTGCCTTTCAAACCCTTGGGTAAGTGTTTGTCACAAGGTTTTTCATGGTTTTATAAATACATCTTTTAAAATAGTGGCACTAATAATTACTGCACATGCCAGTTATAAAATGACATCCAAGTGAGGCTTCTCTTCACTGTAGTAGATTTAAATTAGTCTTGATTTATTTTACAGTGGCCAAGACGATGACATTAACTTAATGAAAGCCTGCTGGAATGAACTGTTTGCTCTGGGTCTGGCACAGTGTTCCAACATTATGAATGTTGGTACCATTTTAAGTGCCATTATCAGCCATCTGCAGACAAGCTTACAGGAAGGTAAGAGGGCTCCTCTGTTGCCTGCCTGCAAAGTTTCACAGAATACAATTTCAGAAGGCCAAACAACGTTTTTCAGTGTAATGTCAAGGAGAATGCAAGTAAGCCTTGCAGACCTGAAGTATGTTAATATATATATAATAATAAATAAAAAGTATAATATGTTGAGGTTTGAAATCTGTCTTCTTCATTTTAGTGGCACAATTTGTCCTGAATTTGCTAAAGGCTGTACTGATGCTCAGCTTCTTACATCCTTCTCCCCTCTAATCTTGCCTTTTTATTTGTTTTATTATTATTTTTATTCTGTCTCCTACAGAGAAGCTGTCACCAGAGCGAGTAAAACTAGTAATGGAGCACATTTGGAGGATGCAAGAGTTCTGTAACAGCATGGCCAAGCTGTCCCCAGATGCTTATGAATATGCCTATCTCAAAGCTGTTATTCTCTTTAGTCCTGGTACGTAGACAGACCAGTTTACAAATGAAAATTGCATTAAGGCAGAATCTTTAGCATGTTGGAACACCTGAACAAAAGTGTTACAGATGGCCCAGTGTGCATGGACTCACATTTGGCTGTGTACTTGTGTTGCTTTTGTACCACAGATCACCCAGGCATTGATAATACCCCACAGATTGAGAGGTTTCAGGAGAAAGCCTACATGGAACTACAGGATTATGTAACCAGGACCTACCCAGAAGATTCCTATCGGTTAGTAGTGTTTACTATACTACACACTGCCCGTTCATTGCTGGAAAGGCAAAGTTGATGTACAAATTTCAAATTTTTTCTTTCCTCCTTTTGGCTCCCAGGTTGTCCAAGCTGTTGCTCCGTCTTCCGGCCCTCAGGCTGATAAGTGCAGCTGTCACCGAGGAGCTGTTTTTTGCTGGCCTCATTGGCAATGTGCAGATTGACAGCATCATCCCTTACATCCTCAAAATGGAGTCCACTGATTATAATAGCCAGGCGGCCTCTGGAGTCTGACACAGTGTGCTGTTTGTAATGGCAATGCTGGACTGTGAAAATTCAACAGCCAATCAGTAGTCGGAGGGCTTCACAAACTGGTCACTGAGTGGCCATCACATATTGTATTTATGACACGGCATTGACTCTCACATCGCTCCTACTGCTGCCTCCTCAGTAGCCAGGCAGTAGAGGACAACTCACAAGGAGGATAAATAACACCAACTCCAGTGGCAAGCAAACTGCTTCACTGCCTCCAAACCTTTCCTTTTGTGCCGATCTTGTTTGCATTCTGAAGTAATCGGGATGCTTTGTTTTTCCACTGATTTCCAGTATGGTCATGCTTTTTTATTTTCTAATACTTATGGAGGAAAAAACTTGTTATAATGTTGATTGATTGTTGAGATGTTATTGCTAAAGGTTAGAACCTTTATTTTTTATGTTTGCCAATCCAAAGGATGGGGCAGCATCACTTGTCAAATATTTGACATCATGTGGAAGTTAATTATGTATATAGACAGCACCAAGAAGGCTGTAATAGGCAACTCTTGGTACAAATCATGACAAACATGGACGGAAAATGATGGCCAAGTCATTTGAAAATAAAGGAATCTTTCAGTCATGTTTCCCTATTATATACACATTTGAACTTTCATTTTAATTGACAATATACTCCAAGTATGACTTGGTGGGACTGATTCTCACTATTTACCTGTTCAACATAAATGTTATGTAATGCTCATAAGAGTCATATTAAGCTTTTCAGCAGCAGCAGCAGCGCGCTACAACTTATTTTGTATTTTTGCCAATGTGGACTACAAAAGCAGTCTAAATATGATGTTGGGGCCATGCTCACTCATGTTAGAGCAGGCTTTCTGTGTGGATGCACAATTGAAGTATTTTCTCTAGTACTGCCTGTTTGTGTTGTATGTTTAGTTTGCACTCAGTAAATACTCGGGAGTATTTTCATGTGTCATTGCTGCAAAAAACCTTGAAATACAAGAATAACGGTGAAAGCTAGATACGCATTCTGTTGTTGACAAATGCACCAAGTCAATCAGCTTTTTAGCCCTGTCATTCAAAGCCCACTGAGGAGAGAGTAGCACTGTAGTTTTTGTGATCAGGGTTAAATAACCTGGTGCTGAAACAGAAACTGTCCCCTTGCGTATTTTTTTTTGACTATAGGGTACTGGAGACAGGTTGTCTTCTTTGTAACCACGTGCAGTAGTTGTAATTTGACAGGATAAGTGTATTGGCCCACAGCGGACCTCTTCCAAGAAGCAGGTTAATTAAGTTATCTTTGAAAGTAGCTCTGTTGTAAATGTATCTGTTACAGACCTGATGAATTTCTACTTTTTATTTAATGATGCAATCAAGAAAATTCCGTAGTTCTGCTTCATGTAACCTGCCCCCAATTCTTTAAACAGCAGATGGCTCACATGTTCCTTTTGAATTAAAAACACAAGAACTGCATCCAACCCCAGTGGTGTTTTGTGTCAAGTGATGTAAATGTAGAAGATGTTGCAGGGTGTTGGAGACAAGCGGCTAGGCTTTCAGTGTGTGTTATTAGCCAATCAATTTTTCATAAGGGGTCTGTGGATATGGATAAACCGAGGGTTGTGCCTGTAATCATTCTTCTGCCGTAGTTACCCAGTGAATTATGTTTAGATAATTAAAGGCACTGATAGTAGCATTAAAACTTGATGACCAGTTGAGTATTGTCTGCTGCTATTTTTAGAAGTCCATTGTCCAGTTTATCCAGTAGCTTCTTTATGTGAATCTCCACAGCCCTACCCATCACTACATCACTTGACTCACCCTCTTCAAACCACAGAGGTTAATGCAGGTCTGTGTATGGTGCACTCGTTCTATGGTCTGTACAGACACCAGAGAGTACTCGTGATCTCTTTACAAACTGCCCGAGCACATTACAGTTACAAAAACAAACTGTGATTGTCGGTAACTGTAAAGGTTAAGAACGGTAAGGAGATTTGTGATGCAACATGGGCTTTTGTGTTCACGGCTAGGTGGATTAGCATTTCAGGCTGAGTGAATGTGGGTGAAAGAGCCAGGTGTACTGTTCCCATGGCCTCTTTGAGTTTTGGGGTTTCATTGCTTGAGGAACGGGTGTAGATTTAGCAAAACACGGTGACAGAACTGGTTTTAAGAAACTCTTATATTAGCTTTAAGACAAAAAAGGCCATTTCCTGTCATGCCAATGCCAGCATGACATTGTGGTCAAATATTTTAATACTTGTTCATTACATTATTTTATTTATTTATTTATTTTTACATAGTGTGCTGCACATTCTCTTTTCCTCATTTAAGCTGTTAGGTATGGTCACCTCTTTAACAAAAGTACAATATGCACTCAAGTCATAACTTTAATTTATTTTACTTTATAGCCTGTATAATACTTTTTGTTTAAAATCTACCAAATCTCACAATTTTAGAGGGTTTGCTTGTTCCTGATACACAGGTTTGCATGATTCTCATTTGAAAGAGTATAGTAATATGAGTGTAAGCAAAGAATAAGTGGCAGCAGTGAAAAATAAGTGCTATTACTCAATAACTGAGGCACACATGCTTTACTTTAGTATTTCCATTTTATGCCACAATAAATTTCCTTTTTTCCTACATTTAAAAAGGAAACATTGCACTTTTGTCAATTAAATGACCTTACAACACCATATAGAACATGCAGTCAACAAACCTACACTATCTTAGCCTAGACATTTTACACCAGTAATTACAATCTAATAGCATTTTCACTTTGAAATTTTCAGTACTTTTTCTAATCGGCTACTCATGTACTTTAACTTAAATATTCTTTATTTAGAACTTTAACTTGCAATGGAATATTTTCACCTAAACAACTGAGTCTTATTTCTTCCATCACTCATAACAGTGTGTAAAAGCTGAGTTGCTCTTGCGAGTCGTGGTGTAGTACAAGATTTGGTTTCCTGCATAATTATGATCTGTTTTAATTCTTAAATTAAAATATTAGATTTAGACAGAAAGTCTTTTAATTCGAACGTCACTCATCACAGGACACTATAAACCTAAACCCCACTTTCTATCACTGACATGCAAGCGTGCTGAGAGACAACTCCTCCTCCTCAGCCACCGTGCGGAGGGAGGCGGAGTTCAAGATTTACACAGCTTTTGTATGTTGAAGAGAGAATGCAGTGTGTTTCTATGTGAGAACAGGACTAAACATGGTTACGAGATTAGGCACGAGTTGTGAACTAGTCCCGGTCCTGAACTGAAGAACTACCAGCTCCCGACTGGGCACAGACACGGGATTATTATGCCCAGCTCCACGGTGTCTGTGCGAAGTTTGTCCGAAGTGGAGAAATACCTCAACAGCCGGATGGTGAGTGTCATACGAGCGCGCTGTGCAGCGTTATTGTGTCACAAAGTGCAGGTCCCGCTCTGTACCAGCGGCGCATTGTTGTCTGCTGAGCTGTGCGTCAGGCGAAACCAACAGCTGCGCCGTGTGAAAGCTGCTGACAAAGAGCTTCACTAACTGGTGATAACCTGTTGGCTGATATCATAGAAATAGGCACGATTTATGAAGATGCTGCTGTGGTTTAAGTATCTGTCACTGTAAACCCGTCAGTAGTGACACCCCCTACACAACCCTGGTCGGGACATATTTAACTATATCCAAACGGGACATTTATTTTCCCCTGCCGCGTTATAAGGCCGTTTTGATTAGTAATTAATATGACGATTACTTATAGGTTAGGAAATTAACAGCCTAAAGTCTAAAATGTCAGAAAGCAGTTTAAATCTTTAGCAAAATTTCCCAGTATCCAAGTAGACCGCCAGCCAAAACCGGCACATTCTGAACTGTGAACCAGTGCCAAAGAAGCACATACATCTGTACACTGTAGTCCAGTAGTACACAGTCATCATGCAGTAACTGCAGTTCCGAATTGGAGCCGGTGATATTTGATGGATGTTGAATCAGCTATACAGTAATTTGTATATGTCATTTGCAGTGATGGATAAAATATTTCACTTCCAATGTAACACAAGTGCAATACTACAGCAGCACAACAAACAATGGTCTCAAATTGTACAACAATTTCGAATCACTACAAAAAACAACTAATGTTCTAAATAGAAATGAAAAGTTGCAAGTAATGTATTTATTCCAGAGCTGTTTTGTTACCCAACCCCACCTTACTGTATCTGATAAGTGGTGGCTTCCCAACTCGTGGTAACCATTTTGTTCCGCTTAATTTAGAGTATGTGGTATTATAGTGGATGTAGAAAGGCACTTGCTAGAATGAAATAAAATATAGCTTTTTGTCTCACAACAAAATAGTTGAAAAAATAATGTTCTGTAAGCATTCATTCTAAACCTACAAGAAAGAGGCTATTATGACGACACACAGAAATGTTCTGATTACTGCCAGACTGTCTGTCTTATTTTACATCCTTCAACTGTGCTGACCTAGTCAAATCAAGGCCAATTTCATGTAAATAGCCCAAATCACAAATTTGCCTTAAAGAGCTAAATCAGACTTGACAAAGGCTTCCTCTATTCTTAGACACTCGGTTCAGGAAACGAAAACTGCCCCCAAAAACATTTGAACCTAATCTTCACAGGTTAGGGGAAACCATGAAATCATCTGCTAATGTGTATGGTGTTCAAAAAAATCCCCTAATAATATACTTTTAAAGCCAGGTGTTCTTGGTCACAGTGAAACTGAAGAGAGGAGAGCCCAGTGTGGTTCTCATGCAACCAGAAAGTCAGGAAAGTACCAAGCAGCAGGTTGCTTTTTGGCCCTCCTTTAGTTTTTAAAGGTGGACCCTGATGTTTTAATTTACCATGCATCCTAAATGAGCCACTGGTAGGTCCTCTTTGGTCTGTCAAAACTTCCCAGCTGTAAATTATCACTGAACAAACTCAACAAGTTTCTTGAAGCAGAAATAATACACAAATATTTTGAGCCAGCTTTAGACGGCTGTGGGAAAACCATCAACACAACATACTGCAACAATTAATCTGACCATTTGGCTGGTTTATTACTGCTGGACTGTGTTGTTACGCTTTTCTTCCCTTTGTTGGCCGCAAATGACATTCCAGTTTTGTTTCTCAAAAAGCCATTGTGCAGCAGATATAGTGTGTTAGAGGCCAAAGATGATGCAACACCTCAGCCTGTTTGTCTCTTAACCCTCACTGGATGGTAGCTCTGTAGAGATCTGTGTGCTTTGCCTCTGTAATGCTTCTCTCATATTCATGTCACCAGACAAAAGGCAGACATATTAGCCATTGCGTCTGTCATGCTGTTAATATGCTATAATATCACTGGCTGTATTCACTCACTCACTTTGAATCAGGACATTGAATTTAGCTCCATATGTATCTTAATTGAATCCCATTCAATACTCTCCTAGTCTACAGGGGTGAGGAGACCCTGGGAGTGTTAATGGGCTATCGATTTAGCCCTGGACCAGCTTGTCTGTGAGATAATGGAGAATACATCTTGAGCAATTCATTCCACTGATCTCAAAGGGATTAGGCATTAAGGAAACTTAAGACTTCTATATTGCTAGTCTTTTTTTTAAAAACGATTTTATTCTGATGAGGCGTTTTGTTTGGCCTCTAAAGAAAGCAATCAATGTGTGGCCAGTTGGGCAGCTGTGGGATGCAGACGAGAGGAGGAGGAGATGTTGGGTCAGCTTTGTGACCACAATCAAAGAAGTGCTCCCTGTTGCTCTCTCTCTCTCTCTGTCTCTGGTTTTCTTCCTGTTTCCCTGTGTGAGCCCTGAGTGGGAGAGTGTCTGTATCTATGAGGATCAGCTGGAGGGAATACCAATAAGCACCATGGGCTTCTTCCCCTCTGTGGTTCAGTTCTCTGCTGAAGGGACGGTTTTGTTCCATCTCAGTGAGTGTGCCAGCTTTTTTGCCCCTCGTGTGTGAGTGTGTTTTTATTTGGGGTGCACAGAGGCATTAACAGAGGACGTCAAAGAAGTACTACCCTATTTGCCACAAACCACAGCCCTGTCATTCTGATCTGATATCTTCAGATCACTGCAAACACCTGTGCTTGTATTTGCATGTGTGTGTAGCTGACCCTGCACTGTAAACTGATGGTGTCACCAGATTACTGCTACAGTCGTGAGTACTTGCAAACATTACTTCCTGGTAACAGGGGAAGTACCTTCCTGTTTGCGTAAGAAAATGTCAGTGGGTTAATAATATCCCCCTGCAGGGAGGGACAGTGAGTTTAGCAAGAAACAGACTTGGTTTTGTACTTTCTGCTACTCCGAACAAATATTTATTTCAGCTCGGTATTCAGTATACACCCATTGTATATGGATCCATACATTTTTAAGTAACTTGTGTGGCTTCTCCGGTATCTGAGGTCACAGTGATTTGTCCAGGGTGTATCCCCCCCTTGCCCAGTGTCAGCTGGGATTGGCTCCAGCCCCCCATCCCCTGCATGCCACCCTCTGCCAGATAAGTGGTATAGCTAATGGATAGATTGCTTCTCCAGTTTGGGAATTTATGCTGAATTGCTGCTTTGCCTGTTTGTTCTGGGTGCTGCAATAGGAAAATAAGCAATAAGGTCTGTTTTTGCATGAAAAATTAAATCACTGCAGTGTGAGACTCTGTTGACTCCCTGACTTTGCCGCCATGAACTTAGCAACGATTTGGAAGAATTTCCCGAGCAAAACAACACACAGCCCTCCCTTGATGGGATAGGTTTGAGGCTAATGCAGTTGGGTCTTTATGTTATGCTGTCTAGTGAGGGCAGAGCATATTAAATGGGTCATGCTGCTGGACAGACGCTGTGTGCTATGTAGGGCAGCGTGGGGGACAGTGGGGCTCATATGGGACTGAGGTATGAGGAAGTCACCCTGGGGTGCACAGAGGACTCTTGTAGATCCTGTTGGTAAAGATGAACAGAGCTGTTTTTGGGAGCATCCTCCCTTTGTTCTATTCTCGTCCACCTATCTCCTTGTCTGTTTTGGTTTCTGTACTGCTATCTATGTTTTGTCTCCCACTTTCTGTCTGTTTATTCTTCTGTTCCACTGACACATGAATATCAATGGCTGAGTCAAACAGCAGTGGGTGTAGGCCTGGCTTGTTCTTTTCAAAGGAACAGTTGGACATTTTTAATGTGAGAAAATTCTATAAAAAGATTTTTTTCAAACTGATAGTGACAGACCACGGTTTGAAGATGTGATCAGACAGATGGGCCACACACAGCCCAGCCTTTTAAATCCAAGAGAAACATAGTCATCGAGCACAGGTGTGAGAGCACCCAGACAGGTCACCTGGGACTAGATAACATCACCTAACCTGGTTTCAGTCTGATGTTGTGGTTAGGGACATTCCACTCTAACTGCTGGATTTCACCCTTACCTTTACTGCTGTGTTGTAGCAGCCTTTCCCTCCCGCTGTTTCACCTTCCTACCTGAACAAGAGAACGCCTGATTAAGTGTTTGGGAGAAACAGAGTGAAAAGTAGGACAGCTCCTCAGCAGATTGAGCAGGACATTTTCATCAGCATGAGGCTAATTCATTTAGCAGCCACTCATCCAGAGAGACCCTCAGATTGCTCCTGTGGTAATCTCGAGTATCAGCAGTGGCAGTGGAAACAAGCTTATTAAATTGAAATGGTCTAATTATCACGGAATTTCTTATTTGAAAATTGTCAGATGTCTTACTTGCTTTTGGATTGCAGTGTGTGTAAAGCATCTGGGTTGTGTTATTTGAGCTGCTCTCATGAATCTGACCTCATCCTGCCAAAAGCCATCTTGTTTTCATAACACAAGGTGTACGCCTCTTGTTCCAGCTGTGCTTGACATTCATAACTCCAGATGCATCAGTGTGAGTATGGACAAATCCCAACCCTTACAAGGTCTACTTTTACTTTTGCTGCAGGCCTCAACAGTGATTCATCAACAGTTGCCACGTGATTTTTTTTTTACATCTATTTTACCCTATATCGTAACACCTTCAACTTAAACTGAGACCCCTATTTGGTCCATAGTGCTACAGAGAGGAATACTGAACAGCTAAAGTAAAGGCTGGTGGGGAGAGAGTGCCCGAGGATCTAGTTTAGTTCCACTACTGCAGAAATAGCAGTGCAGTTCAAGCTGTCTGGTCGAACAGCCAGTTCTTGTGATTGTTGTTTGAAAACTAAAAAGACTGAGAAGTATGAGCAACCTACACAACAGCTTGCCCTACACTTCCTCTCAGTGAAGGCTATTTGAGTTCTCCTTCTTTTGTATGACAAACAGGTTTGACAAAAGGCCAGTTTATGTGTGGACCACAAGAGATGTAGCCTGCTCTCAGGAAGGAGGGGGCTGTGATTGGGTGCAGGGCTCTAAAGGCTATATGGCAGGCCAGTGAATCCACATGCAATAGTTGGCTCATCAGAGTCCTGCACAGAACAGAGGTAGGGCATTACAAAGTGCGCATTTTTCTCTGCAGAGAAAGAGTCCTGTGTTCGTGGGCTGAGGACAGAGGCTGAAGTACCCCAGGCATGCTTGTAGAATTAAGCATGGTGCTCTCTGATTAGACACCACACAATTAAATACATGTCGTGTGTGCACAGTATAATTATAGGCACATAGACACCAACACTTCCTGTTTTTATATACATGTAGACCAAGAGTTTACAGCTTTTAGCAGGTATGATGTATAACAGGGCCACAAGAGACCGACATTCCCATCCTTAGATCAGCTCTATCAGCATGGCTAAAAATGTGCAAAGCAGTTTTTGTGTTTTACAGTATGGTGAAACAAAATGCATATGATACACCAAATTCTCATTGTTTGCTTTATCAGTGGCCTCACAAACAGGTTTTACTAGTTGAATGAGTGTGAGGTCATACTGTCAACAGAAAGTAAACAGTTGTCCAATTGTAATTGGACAGGTTAAGTCTAACCGATTTAAGTGAAGAATTGGAGCTGAATGTGTCGCTGTAATCTGTTTATTTGCCTGAAACTAGCAGTGTTACATTCGTTCTATGATCAACTTGTAAGATTTGATGACTTGTAAGACTGCTATTAAATTGCAGTGCCATTACACATGAACTTCTTGCTCATAAACCTAATTAAATTCATGTTTTTCTGCTCTTCTCACTTTGCTCTTTATCGAAGGCTTAAGGCTTCCTGTGTTAGCAGGAAGTAAGCAGTAAACTTGCTTGCTTGTACAATATTTCTTTTGTTTCACTTCCTCACATCTACCTCCAAGGACTCAGTAAACTATTGACATATCAGTAAAAACTGAATGTAATGTTGAGCCTCTATCAGGAAAATTTTAATTTACTGTAAACATAGGAGACATTTCTGAATAAGGGATTTTCCTTTGCCTTCTGGCCATGTTTGACATTGTCACTGACCTACATTAGATGTGCGCGCTGCTCCACTTCTTTTACACATATTAATAGCTCTTATCTGAATTTTGTCGTCAGTGTCGCCTGTGTGATATACTGTAAATAAACAGGATTAAATTCTTGCTGCTAAAATGTAACAGATGTACCAAATAAGTATTACACACACACCCAGATGGTCTCACGGCAGCAATACTGCATATGTAGAAAATCACAAACAGTGCAAAAGGAAAAGTCCATTAAAGGGATTTTTTTAACAGCCTTGCACTCATGTTTCTAACATTATACTCACTAGTACAATGGAGCAACAACACCGTTATAAGCATGTCTACCACTGAGCCCGCAGGGCACAACAACACCAGTGGATCAGGTTTTTAAAACAGCTTAACCCAATAATAAGCCATTCATTTGAAGCCAGTTGTTGTACTGTGCTTTAAATACCCATTGTATGTAGAGATACAATAGCTTTGCTCAAATTGTTTTACAAAGCAGTTGTTGATTGGAATGGACAGTTAAGATTATTCATATATGCTTGACCTTCAGATAGAGAGTATAACTGTGTCTCTGTAAAGACATGGCAATAACATTTTCTTTATTGAAGATGCACATTCAGTCATTTATTGGTGAAAAATGTACTGCATTACAACCATGTTACCATAACCTAAATGAATGATAACGAATGCCACTACTAGACAATAAGACCTAACTTGAAAAGGTCTGATGTTACCTTTTAAAATGCACGGTATTTGAATTGTAGGCTATATATTTACTTTCCTTGCTGACCCTTTTTCTGATTAGACAGCTTTCAGAAGATCATCCCTATAAATGCTCCATTCTTTATATAGTATATCTAATCTTTGTTTCTCCTTCTTGTAGGACCGGAGTAGTGAAGGCAGTTTTCTGAACACCTCTGTGTCGATGCGGAGGGGTTCCTCAGAGAACAATCTGGACCTGGACCTGAGCAATGGGAGTACTCATTCTGCTTTTGGCTTCGGATTCCAGCGTAGTCGTTCCTGCCTGGACAGCCTCCAGCAGAAGATACTAAAAGTTACAGAGCAGCTGAAGATTGAGCAAACAGCACGAGATGAGAATGTAGCAGAATATCTGAAGTTGGTGGACAGTGCAGACAAGCAGCAGCAGGGGCGCATCAAGCAGGTGTTTGAGAAGAAGAACCAGAAGTCAGCTCAAAACATTGCTCAGATGCAGAAGAAGCTGGAGCAGTACCATCGAAAGATGAAAGATAGTGAAATCTATCACAGCCCATCCCGTCACCTGTCCACTGTCAAACATAGCACCATACCCAGGGAGTCACCCAGAGAGCTGCTGAGGGATATGACTGGCAGTGGCCGACACCCAACCATGGACAAGATTAAAACCATTGGACCAGGTGTTTCTCTCTCCCCTCCATTTTTCTTCAGCAAGCCCAGAGAGTTTGCCAACCTCATCAGGAACAAGTTCGGCAGCGCTGACAACATCGACCATCTTAAGACTACGCTTGACGCTTCTTCTCCGTTGCCCACTGACAGTGCAGGAAAGGGCCTGAGTAACAGCACCTCAATGGTAAGCAAGCCCAAGTATCCCAGTGATGATGAGTGCTCCTCAGAGAGTGCTTCCATTTCAGCAGACAGCAATGGAAACCCACTGGGAGGAGGGGTGCCAGCGGGGCAGGGGCAGGAGCAGGGACAGCCAGCCGGGGGAGATGGTCATAGCAGACTGGCCCTGATCCTGGAGGAAGTGAGGGAGATCAAAGAAGCCCAGAGCCAGCTGGAGGAGGATATGGAAGAGCTAAAGGCTCAGTTCAAGAGAGAGTATGGCATCGTCAGCCAAACACTGCAGGAGGAGAGATACAGGTATTGCCTAACGTAATACAGCACCAGGACTACTGTATAACATTAAACTTATTATCAGCTTAATAGGCATATTTACTACTCCATATAAACATGTAAACAGCCATAACAGAGAATTTGGAGATAGTATTTACTAAATGGTAATTCATCACATTAACATCTGCAGAGACCTCTCATATGCAGTACATTCAGATCTGCCTATAAATAATGATTTTTATCTGTTATTGATTACTAGGTATGAGCATTTGGAAGACCAGCTGAATGACCTGACAGAGCTTCACCAACATGAGATGGTTGATCTGAAGCAAGAACTGGCCAGCATTGAAGAGAGGGTGGCCTACCAGGCTCAGGAAAGGGCCAGCGACATACAGGTGCTGTACAGAATAGTGAATCTATTATGTAGTGATGCTTAATTTGTAAATTACAGGCCATAGGATCCTAAAAATATGACATACTATCTCAACACATTGGTGAAGCTTGTCTTAAATCCATTGCGTCCATCCAAGTGATGAGACTGTTACCATTTACTGTAGAGTTGCCAGTGTGTAATGGTCCCCCTCATCAGATAACATTCTTCATAAAGGATGTCTGTTTTGTCATTTGATATCTATGACTGTCCTCATATCTAATCTTTTGGGAGAGTCTGGATAATTGGGCAGCAACATGCCCTAAAGCCACCTGGGAAACATTTAAACCCACAGATTCTCTCTCCATCTGTTTCAGGAAGCCCTTGAGTCGTGTCAGACACGAGTGTCCAAGCTGGAGCTCCAGCAGCAGCAGCAGCAGCAGACAGTCCAGCTCGAGAGCCGTGATGCCCGGGTCTTGCTAGGGAAGAGCATCAACATCATGTTGGTCATCATCACCGTAATCCTGGTGTGCGTCTCCACCGCTGCCAAGTTTGCCGCTCCGCTGACGAAGAGCCGATACCACGTGGTTGCTACCTTCCTAGGGATTTGTTTTTTAACCATATTCTGGAAGAACTGGGACTGTTTACAGTATGCCATAGACAGGTTGCTGATGCCTGCCTGACAGTGAAAAGAACATAATGCAAACAACAATAAGACGGGCGCTGTCAGTTGTCAGGAAAAGAATATCTTTGAGGACTGGTTGTACAATCGTCACATGACATGGTCACCATGCATTCACAGTTTTTTAAAGTCAGACTGAAAGGAAATTTAGATTTTTTTTCTTGTGTAGAACTTGAATGTGTGTAACTAACAATTCAATTTAACCCTTAAAATAATATTTATAGAACACTGTGTTACTTCTACAGTGGTTGCTATGAAATTATCACAAGACATAAAATGTCTATTTAAGGATTGAGAAGGAGGAATAGAAGTTCATTTTCATAGTATGAGACAGCCAGCAGCCATTTAACTTAACTTATTATAATACCATAGTGTATTATTTTAAGATGTTAGGTGTTGGTAGGTGGATTGTGTTACTGTTGAAAAGAGCCACACTAGCCATTTCCCCCTTTCCAGCTTTTGTATTAAGCTAGGTTATCAGGCTGCCAGTGGTATCGATTTTCTAATCTTACTCTCAACAACAAGATAAATAAGCATTATTCTTCCAATTTTTTACTATTGCACACTACTGCTTTTAATAAAGAATACACAGACTAGAGCACAGAAGCAGCAGACCTCCTGTTTTCTTTGCTTAGTTTTTTTTTATTCTTTATCATCCAGCCTGTGTAGTCACTCCTCATAAAGTTGCTCTGTGTACAGGTCCTGATGTTTAAAGTGCAATATATTTGACTTCTTGGAACACTGTTTTGAAAATGACTTGTCTTTATGACTGATTGTTCTTTGTCAGTGTTTTGCAGCGACAAGGTGTTGCTATGCTTGGGGAGGCGGCGAGAAAGACTCATTAATCTTGGCATGAGAGATCCATAACCACTGAAGCCGCTGCTCAGCTCTGATAAGCCCAACTGTCTCCTTTCTGAAGGGCCAAAAAATCAATCTAGCTGCATAACTGTGCTGGTAATGTGGTAATATCAACACACACCAGCTCTCCAGTGCAGCTACACATGTGCACACACCCAGACAACACAAAAACAGAGTCAGTCAATTGGATCTCTATTTACATGTCTTATGGGTTTTTCCCAGTTTGTCTTTTTACTGATAATGTGACTGAAAGGTGATGGGTTATACTGTGATTCAAGGCCTGTTTTCTGAGGACGAATGCAGTTGCCTTTTTTTTAAGAAACAGCAAACAGCCTTTAATGCTCCAGTGATGACAGAGGAGCACATTGATGAACTGGGTGATGAACTATTTATGGACTGACTAATGTCTTATTTCATATTTGTCTTATGAACATCGCCTGTGAAGATTTCACATGATGTTATGGACCACTTTTAATTTTTTCTGCCAATGAATACATGTTTGTGTTGATATCTGATGTCATCGCTCTTGTTGATCTACTGACTGTATCATTGTTTTGTTCCTGTTTTGATGCATTTAAGGAAGTTTTACCTTCATAACTACAGATCTGGTTTACATTCTCTTTTCATCTCTAAGACACTAAGAAATCAGTCAGTTGTATGTTCTTGTATTATGCGCCTTTGTGTGACAATTTCTGTTAAATTAATCAAACCTTTTTAATCATCTTGTTACTGTTGTTTCAGAGTGATGTGTTGTTGTCGCATTTGTCATGTGATTAGGTTTTTCTATAAATATTCCAGTCTTGGGGGGGTTTCAGTAGTGTGGACAAATGTCAGAAGATTAGAGAATACTTCACCATGTGCTACTGGTGTAAAAAAAGGAAGAGAGAAAGATGAATGTTTGATAATTCCAGTGGTGGAAGAAGTACTCGGATCACTTACTTAACTAAATGTACTGTAGCAATGTAATAGTGTAAAAATACTCTGTTACAAGTGTTATCATCAAATCCTACTTAAAGTACTAAAAGTACTCATTATGCAGAATGACACATTTAACATTAATTATATCATATGATTTGTTATAATTATCCATGCATTATTGTGTTTATTACATTTAATGTTACAGCCGGTATGTAGTGGAGTAAAAAGTGCCACATTTGCCTCTAGAATGTGTTTAAATATGAAGTAGCACATAATCAAAATACTCAAATCAAGTACAGATACCTCAAAATTGTACTTAAATACAGTACATGAGTAAATCTACTTGGTTACTTTCCACCACTAGTTAACTCGCGGAACCTGTACACATTGCATTAATAAAACTAGATATTTGGCTTTATTTTCCTTTGGGCAATTTACATCAGAAGAAAAAATTTTTTAGGAAACTTAAAACATTGTATAATGTGTAATAATAGGAACATCACAAATGTTTGGCATTTTTACAGTATTGAAGTATCTGTCACCACCACTAGGGGATGTCGGTGCTGCACTGTTGACATGTCAGAGATCAGGAGAACATTGCAAAGCTGCTTTCACTTACCACAGTCTTCATGGTAGCAACCGGATTTTATGGATATGTTGCACTTTAATTTTTGATTTCTATTCTGTCTGAATCAATACCACCACTTCACACCAACAACGACTACAACACCACAGAAGACAGAGGAGACTTTCCTCTTGCAGCAATATCAAAAGCGCCCTCTGCTGTTTTTAAGTATATGGCTCTAATGCAGCACATTTCTGTATATTTCCAGTAACATCAAATCTGGATCATACTGTATGTGACCAGGAGTGCTATTTTTGTAAACTGCTACATGTGTGTGTACCTATGACAATCAAGATGGACTGTGGTACCTGGGGTGCTGATGATCAGAGAGAGAGATGGATTCAATTCCATGAAATTCACTTTGATGAATGAACATAGTTCCAACAATATCCAATAATATCAAACAGTCACAGTAAGAAATAATGACACATAATGTAGCTACAATACATTTGAGATAGCAACTTCAAATAAGCCTTTGTGCAGAATGTCACATGCTTTAAAATCAACAGTACAACAGCATCGACATTACTGCTGTACATCAGTGTCAGGGAGTGGTAGGTGCTGACACAGGGATGCACATGAAGAAGCTCATATAAGGTTAAACTCAGCAGCGCTGCAATATGGGTCACCTGGCACAGCGGCATGCATGATGTAGTCTGTGTGATGAGCGGCTGTGTGGATGTCAAACAGAGGCACAGATACATGGTGAGATATTGCAACAAGAACTGGGATGATAGACAGATCGCTTAACTCGAGATCACTGGCACTCACACATTCCCACACTTTATGCGAGTTTAAGTTTCAAACTGGAATAGAGAGTTGTGTGCGCATATGTTTGTTAGTGCACATGTAGGCGGACTGGCTGCGTTTCATGCATTAGTGGAGCAACTAAGGCCTCTTGGGGAGAAAAACACTCAGATTGGTGTGACATTGAGATCTTGACTAGCAAACACATACACTCACACACACACAGAGGCATAAAATGGGGATTATGGGCTATATTTGTAGGTGTGGTGAATGGAGAGCAATATTTCCTTTCCCAATCTCTCTCTTCTCTCTATAATGTGATCTAAAAAAATCGCCTTCCTTTGATGTGAGCTCTGATCCTGTGTGTTTTCCATTGTGCTGTTTCTTCTAGTTCCCGGAGCTCAGTGGTCTATTCACTAGGCTCCATAATAAGCTGCTAATTATCCCAGGACCTCATCAAGTCTCTCTGGGGCTGCAGCTAAGCTTCCTCCTCACACAGGTTGGCATGGTGACCAAAAGAGATGGGACCTGCATAGAGGAGGCCACCAAAAGGACCGCCACAGCTTCACTCCTGCTCTCTTTTATTGAGAGGGCATGAAAGGGACAGTTTCTACACTCCCAGGAAGACAAAGGAGGCAGATAAAAATAGCTGTAAGCATCACTGATTTTAATTTTGTGAATTTTAGTTGTGCATTACAGAGTGTTTACAAATCAATCTGTGAGTGTGGGGTTGTGTGTTTCAGTCACTCTGAGTACATGGGCTCATATTATGGGAAGGTTTTGACCTTTCTGGCAATTTTCACACTGATTTAGACTCCTCGGGCTGCACCAGCCCCTTCCCATTTCCTGTTTATGATGTCATGGAAACAGGCTGTGTTCCTTTTCTCTGCTCTTGCAGGATAACATAAAAATGTATCCTGCATTCTGCAAAGAGCCACAGTACCATACATCTCATCGGGCACAAGACCTCTGTGACACTCCAGTGTCTGTGACCAGAATTAGATGACAAATACCTAGAAATAGCTGAGAAAAAATTCCAGATTTATAGAGACGTTTATCATCAAGGTCTTCGTCATAAAATGCCCTAATTCAAAGACACCTCCACTTTTCCTTTAGTTGCTAAGCAACTATGTGGCACCACAGTGATGCCTGGAGTCAAAGGCTGGCAGCCCAGTGGTGTAGAGTGGATTGTGGGGTGAATCACTGTCTTTTATAGCTCTGAGCTTCCATTACATGCCCAGCTGACAGTGACAATGATACACTGTCACTGGAGAGTAATTATACAGCTTGTTGATCCTGTTGGTAATTCCACAAGCAAATGATGTCAAGTGAAAGTTGTAGTGGGACCACTGGACAAGCACTTAATTATTATCATCAATAGAAATTATTTCAGAGATTTAACGATCTATGATACTTTTGCTTGAATGTTGAAATTGGTTATTCACAAAACAAAGTACTTAATGTATTTAGAATCTGCATACTGTTTGAGCGTGTGTGCATTTTTGTAGTCCTTTGTGATGCTTCATCTCATGTGTTGTAGTAAATGTATGACTTGTGCTTGTATGGCTTTAGCGTTTTTTTTCTAGTTGCTTCTCCCTCTCTAGACTTTATGTTTACAGTAAATAAGCCAATTGGCTGTCAGTTGGAGCTTATTTAGGCTTCAGATAAGAGCATGACAGTAGCAGGCTACTAAGCTTCTTGAACAAGCAAACTAACATATTTCCCAAAATGTCTAACCATTTACACACTTCAGACTACTTGACAACATAGTATTTCACCTATGACCCATTAAAAGACACTGCCTCACCTATCCATCATCTTGTTTAGGTATATGCACCATGTAAACACAACATCACTATCTGACTCAGAGTCCCTCTACAAAGCAGAATCTCAGGCAGCAGTCCTGATGCCGGATTCATCATGAGGCCCTTAGCATTTCAGCTCTCCACATCGCTGTGCCCAAGGAATAGGGTGAAAAATGTGCCTTTTGGCTACATCTGCCATTCATTTCACACTGGTATTAATCAGCAGTAACAGATTTTTTTTGACAGTTGGCAGTGGGGGCAGTGGAGACAAGCTGTTGATACAACACTGATATAACATTTTAAGTTGATCTGGCAGACTTGTTAGCAAACAGTTGCTTATTTACATATCCAGCAGACATAGAGTAACATTCGTTTTTAAAAAGTGCTGAGATGCTCACTACAGTCGTGGGAAGCTGCAGAGTTGGATGATATTTTTCTGTGGGTCTGTCGTCTACAAGCAACCCCTGTCACAACATATAATCATCTGAACCATTGTTAATGTAAGGATAATGTGTAATATGCCCTGACTATAACATAAATAAACACTAAGAAGTGGAGTTAAGTAATAGGATTGATGTAAAAAAAAAAGCGTTAGCATAAGTTTCACATGTAATCATATTTATGACGCACATGTTTGTGTAAATCATTTTGAAAGACTCCCATTCAAACCACCATTCCACTCAAGATACATGAATTTCTGTTCATCCCGTTGTGAATGCAAAACCACAGATACACATTCAAAATACTTTATGGAACTGTTGGTCCTTTGTGTGTTTGCGTCTGAGTGTCGTTCATCCCGTTGTGAATGTAAAACCACAGATACACATTCCAAATACTTTATGGAACTGTCGGTCCTTTGTGTGTTTGCGTCTGAGTGTGTCATTTTGTGTTGCATGTCAATTACAGGCTCACATTCCTGAGGCCTATACTGTAGCTGTGGGCGCTGTGCATATTGCTGAATCTGAACAAAACAAAGGCCACAGTATGAGTGGAGTGTGACCTCACACTCTGTGTGACTGCCCTGTCACAAAACAAACAGCTCATCTCTAACACACTCCTGCTGCAAACCTCTTTCAAAAGGTACTCGTAAACAGCTTGATTTCCCTTTTTATTGTTAGTTTTGAAGTGTAGCTGTAGTAAGTGTGTGGACCGCCACAAAAAAAAACTAGTTTCTCTTTCAGCAGCACAGGGTTTAACAGACAATATAGTGTATCTAAGCAAACTGCTGCAAGGCTGAGTCTATGTGAACTG